ACACACACAGAGAGAGAGAGAGAGAGAAGATTAGAAAAAGTCAAAATAAAAATTCACTTTTAAACACTCTCGCAAACACACGCACACTTACAGAGAGAGAGAGACAGACAGACAGACAGAGAGAACAGACATAACCAACATAAACACAAACAAAATAAACAGACGGTGATGTTTAAACCGTAATCCCTCGCTGGCCCTCTCACAGGCGAAGGAGAGGCAGATGTAAACATGTTACCAGAACGAAGGCATTTGTTCTCTCGCTAATGTATGTCTCTTTACTTTTCAGACGCAAATTCTCTTTCTGCCTCGTCCCCCCTAATGCCCTAAGCCTTATAACAAGTCCCTTTGAACAATTTCACGTACATTTAAACACGTAGATGATGGGGGCAGCTTGTCCTGTTTGAACCGTAAGAAGGAAAGCGCGGGTCTCAAATTGGTGCTAACGAAATGTGTTGTTGTTTTTTTCTATAATGAACGAAGCATTTCAGTTTTACTCTTGGTGGGCTCTGTTGATGTCGTTTCCTTTGCATTAAGGAATTTTCATATGCTGGGAAAGTCGTGATGAATGTAATTATTTTGTTCTAGCCGTACGCTTCTATTATATATAACAACAGATTTCCATTATGAAGATTAAACGACAACGTTTTTGCCACGCTAATACGATTATGCTAACTTAATCCGTGCAATGGATGCCTGAAATCTGCAATGAATTCCCCATGTGTGTGGTTGTGTGTGTGTGTTTGTGTGTGTGTGTGTGTTTGTGTGTGTGTGTGTTTGTGTTTGTGTGTGTGTGTGTGTTTGTGTGTGTGTTTCGTGTTGTGTGTGTGTGTGTGTGTTGTGTGTGTGTGTGTGTGTGTGTGGTGTGGTGTGTGTGTGTGTGTTTGTGTTTGTGTGTGTGTGTGTGTTGTGTTTGTGTGTGTTGTGTGTGTGTGTGTGTTTTGTTGTGTTTGTGCGTGTGTGTTTGCGTTTGTGGTGTTTGTGTGTGTTTGTGTGTGTGTGTGTGTGGTGTGTGTGTGTGTGTGTTGTGTGTGTGTTAGTGTGTGTGTGTTTTAGTGTGTGTGTGTGTGTGTGCGTGTGTGAAAGGTATGTGAAGGATATTACTTGTTAATACATGCGTATATATTTAGAGATTCATATATGAATGTATACATACACACGTACGTACGTATCTTCTTACATACATACATACATACATGCGTACATATATACAGACGTACATATATACAGACATATATACATCCAAACGTACATACATACATACACATACATACATACATACATACATACATACATACATACATACATACATACATACATACATACATACATACACATACATACATACACATACATACATACACACACATACATGCATACATGTATACACACATACATACATATATACGTAAACAGAGCAAAAACATGAGAACATATTCAACCTTACATTTTAAAACAAGAGAAGCACAAACGATAATTTTACAAAATATAAAATAAATGTGAAACAGAAACACAGACGGGAAATGGAAGACAAAGATAGATATTAAAATGGAATAGAATGAAATAGTACACTTTCATACAAGCGAAAAAGTGTATTCAAAGTAAGCATTCAATATCACGCTAAAAGATATCAGAGTGTTTATTGTATCAAAAATCACTGCAGGATTATATTTTGTCTAAGAGAGTATTATTCTAAATATATATAAACATTTAAGTTCGAATAACTACAAATATTCAGTCGAAAAAGTGCTTTACCAATATATAAACCAATATTTAATTCATATACGTATTGTAGATTCGATCCCTTAAAATATCCAGCAGATCTTAAAGTTTTCATGTATCTATAATATCAAAATTAATCAAAAGAAAATAACCTTCATCGAGTTTACTTTTCATCTTAATATGAAATTCAGTCGATTTTCAAATACTATCCCAAGTTTCAATAAATGACCAAAACCTCTATGTGTGAAAGAAAAAATGTATAAACAAAACAAAATAGCAGCGGAGAGGACGCTACTAAGAGAACGGGATAATAAGGTCCAAGGGATCGGCAATTCTCACACAACATCGCGTTTATAAACCTGCTTAAGGTAAAACTCTACACGTCCGTTATTTTCGTTATTTTTTCTCTCTCTTTTTTTAACACTGCATTTTTTTGCAACTTTCTTTAATGAGTTTTCTGGCAAATAGAAACTATATATTCCTGGCGAGTTTAAGCATCTGTAATATATATATATATATATATATATATATATATATATATATATATATATATATATATATATATATATATTTAATAAGAGGTGTTCAATGACATAGTGAGTATGGAGGGATGCAAATTTGTATTGTTTTTAAAATATCTTATCTGGAGATTAGATTATCTTCAATGCCTGGAGTTCAAATGAAACGCTATTTCAAATAAACATAAATCTAAAAAAATAGTTGTTGCAATTATGTTCACCAAATAAACGAAAAAACAGTAGAAAATAACTCACAACCCCTG